TGGCGCTGTTGATCGTGTGCTCCAGACTAACACAGGAAGACAGGCTTTTAAGACAAAGTGCTGACTTTTACAAAGTTTACAATAAAGTATGTACTATGATAAATTGAATCAATAACTCACCATAGGCTACATGTTTGTTGACAAACATCCCGTCACCATTACAAATCCTAAAATCAGCAATGAACGCAGGCGGGTGCGTACAAGTCAGAGGTGTACTATTTAGAGATATTTTAATCTGAACCCCTTGATGTAAGTTTGTAATAGAATTTTGGAAAAAAAATCGATTTCAGACGATGAATGACTCTCTTCAATTCCAACACTGTTCTCCACTGTATTCCTTAGCGTCAATGACATTAACTGGTATAGAATAATACCTAGTTCGGCGATTGAATTGAAAACACTCGACAAATTCCTCGCCCGAAAATTGGATGTGTATGACGAAGTCAACACCTCTCCAAAACACCAACCGTTATAAAAAAGACTCCAAAAATCAAGAGTGAATCAGTCACGAGGTCAAATTCCGTGACGTAAACAGAGTGGAATTAAACATCACTTTAAAACAATTCAACATATCCTTTAGCGAATGGAGGTTATCGAGTATGAGAGACAAGACCTCCTGTGCGCTCTCCGCTTGCTTATATTCTACTACCACCACCACTACACAACCCGGACTGTACGGTATTTAACTGGCCCGTCTGTGCACCCTGTCCCGTTATCGTAAACACCCAATAATTTAATCAATTTCGTCTCAAGAGCAAGCTTTGTTACGGGGCTAGGCGACTGTTACTGTGCGCTAGTTTATATACACTAGTTGCCGTTTGCTTTCTTCCGTTCCTTTCCCGATAGATAAACAAATCTAGTTCGGTCGCGTTTACGTCGAGCGCAATTGATTCTCCCATATGACGTCATACATATATTACAATATTCCGATTGATTTTGAGCAATAATTCACTGTACTGGCTATATGACAGATAAGTTATTTCCAATGGAGTGGTATTTTTATCATGAGTAACTTTAAAGACATTACAATGATTTTACCATATCATTTAGTTCCTTTGACGATAAAGAAAGAAGTCTTATATCAAATGTTCTTCCTAATGCAAAAACGTTTCAATTAAATTCCAGCTTCTTAACAATTTCGTCTCAAAAAGGTCATTCACACTGATACCGTGATTTGCGCGAAAATGCTGTTAATGATATCAGTTTTCAGCAGGCACGAGAGGGATGGCCTGTCTCCCGCCAATGTTTGTGTCTTTGACCATGCCCATTTGAGGAGTTGTCAGAGCCTTTCCAGATCTATAGAACAGAATCACGTGCGGAACAACACAGTGTATCCTGCGGGGTCTGGCTCGAATGTCCATTTATTTTCTATTTATATTTCGTTCGAAATCGTTTGTAGTACAAATTATACTAAAGTATTGCAAATATTATTTTTGTGACGGGAAAATAATACAGCCCTTTGGTAAATGTGGTTTTCATATTACGAATTAAATATATATATATTTTTTTAATTTGATAACCTTGTAAGCTGTCTTCAAATGATATTCATATGCCATTGAACGAATTCAGCGCTCGAAATCAATACCTCCAAGGTATGAACGAGAGTAGTGACTATTTTTTTTACGTTATGAACAAGTTTTATTACTCGCAATGAATCCTTTCACACGTGAGTGCTCTCTGTTTCACTCTAGAATACCGTCAAGGAATGCATTCAATTTCAACCGTTTCGTGGATATATTACCTCTCATGTGATACAGCACAAGAAATACAAACACGATTCTTCTATGAGTTTGATGTCGTTCAGTTAAATCAGCACATCAATTTCCAGGATAACCCTGTTATTCACCTGTCCACTTTTAACGAAATTCTATTCTAATCGAAAGTCTATTTAAAAACATTTTTTCCTTTACTTCATATTTCTGCCTTACCCTAATTTCGCGATGTTTTGTTTGCAATAAAGTCCTTTGGTTATCGTCATCACGACATTGTAGCCTTCTCTTATAACAAAACCCGATTATTGTCTCACGGTCCTGTAATTAGTCTAGTTAATTATTAAAACAACCAAAAATTATAATCAATCTAGTTCATTATCGCAAGTAACTGCTGTTCCAAAATACGCCATTTCTTTCATTATCGTCATTTCCCCAACAAATACGTTGCTTATTTCATCATCACCACGACATTTATCCGTCATTACTTTTACCACTGCAAAAGTTTTATAACAAATTAAGTCGCTTCTTTCATCACCAAATATTTTTCTCCAGAATAAATTGCTTCTGTTATCATCACATTTTTTTATACCAAAATATGTCGTTCCTTCTTCATCGCCATAATTTTCTTCCAAAAATACGTCGTTTCTTTCATTATCACAAACCAAAGAAGACAATACGGAATTGCGTGTACCTAGGTACGGTTTCTATTTTAGAAAGAACGGTAAATAAACTATAAGAATTCTAAGTCAAACTCGTCTAGCCAAGAATGAATGCATGATTGTTACAAGTTCAGCGAGTACCTAAGGAAATGTTCCAGATCATAATATTGGAAATTAAGATGCAGTCGCACAAAACTTTAACCTTTTCCCACTTTTAATTAATCAATTTTAGATATGATGCGATTTGGACACACCACCTTTCAATAACTTTACACCTGTATCTAACTGTGATGTGCGTCTTTGTTTACGCATCGGTAATCGTATCCACTCAAGAATAACAATGTCTAACAAGTCCGATATTTAAATTGGGAGAATATTGATAAAGAAAGGAATGATAGAATCTTTACTCTGTGTGACAGTGGTGACATAAAAGATGGCTTTCATTTTATAGTTAAATGTGAAAGATATGTGGATTTAAGGAAAAGTTTCATTAGAAATATTATTGTAATATAACCAGTATGTTTAAACATACTCCAACTTAAAAATCTATAAAAAAAAACCCAAACAAACAAACAACCCCCCCCCAAAAAAAAAAACCTAAAAAAAAAAAAAATTCAAATTTATTATAATGAGTAACAAGAAAAGAAATGACTTAGCTGTACATGGGTACCATGTTGAATTCCCTTACACTATGCTAATTGATGGTTTGTGTGTTGGATGAGAAAGTTTTGTTCCAGTGTTGTCCATACCTGTATATGTTGTATGTCAATCTGATCTGATGCGCTGAAAGGCTCAAGCTAAAAGAAATATTTGAACTGATGACCGGTACCCTCTCCATATTTGAGAGTTAAAAGTAGATCTGAAAAATTGTGAATGAAAGAATCTACAGATAGGTACTTGGCAGTTGAAAAATACGATAGCGTGTTTTGGGTGTTGGTAAGGCAGGTGCCACAGGTTAACAACCAGAGCCACTTTGAGGCGAGGTCTCCTTGTAGTATCTGGTTAGTATCTCATTAAATAACATAGGGAAGGCCCGCCGCATGTCATCCAGAGGTATGATATATTTATAGGATGAAGAAGAATTACGACATGCATATAAATGAATTCAGATTTTTGAAGAATAATTGAGCTGACTTTCATGACAAAAATAATTACACCGGAAGAATTATGAGAACTTGGTTTTTGCACATTACTGATCGACCAGGAAAAAATATAAATAGCATTACATTCACACTCTGCCAAGTTCATGTTTTACTGACGGTTGCGGCAGAGAAGAGTAGTCATGAATAAAATATCCTGCTTCGCGTTCAAAGAGTAAGAATAGATCAGACACGCAGTAGAGGTCAAAAAAAGGTAAATTTAAAATTGATGAGTCCGGAAAATTAATCTCACTGAGCATGAAATCGATGATAACATCCGTATGTCAAAACAGACCAGTACAATAACAGTTACTAGGCGTCAATTTTTCCCCGTCTTTATGAACGAGTTACCTCCCTTCGTTTTCCCATCCGGTTTCAATCTACTATACTTAGCAAATCCGTTTCGTTCAGCAGCTTTCTTATAGTTTAGGAAGGTTTGCCTTTCAAATGAAATCATTTCTTACACACTGGTCAGGAGATACTTTCCAGCCCTCTGTAGGTTCCGCCTTAGCTGATCTATGATTCAGTCTCCAAGGTTCGCCATATAACATACTTGACTCAGAAACGTGAACTGGATAATGTTGTCAAATATATTTGAAAATTACGAAATTACAAATTCACAATGTGTGCGAGTTAGTATTTGTTTCTTGTTGGGTATGTTTCTGATATGAAGAACGCCACAATAGGTAGATGTCATACTTGAAATATGGTTAAAGCAGCTATTTTCCTTTCATTTTTGATCACGAACCAACCCAAAAACACATTTCCCTAACGCCTGACGTCGGTACATGTTTTGCTTCTGCATATATGATGCCTGCATCAAACACTACAGATATTGAAAAAAAAAACTGCCTCAGTCATGTCCCTGTTTAGGTTATTTTTGGAGAAATTTGGCTGAACTGGTTGGTGTGTGTTATTAGATTCATTCTCGACCCCCATCAGTTGTCAATGTTTTAACTATGCGAGACTAGAATGCCCGCTTCAGCCAGTGTCATTCATTCTGATCTTCCCGAGTACCTACCTTTTTCATTCAGGCAGAGCTAGTTGGTATAGCTATAAGCTTGACTGACCGAAAATGCATCTCCCTAGAATAATAAGTGAATATCAGGGCTGTTGGTGTTTACATTTTACTGGTAACACTGATATCTTGTCGGTCTTTGAGCTTGACAGTGAATGAAGGTCAACTATACAGTCAGCTCGATGGAGGTATTACTTAGAACTAGGAATCTAAGGTAGGCCCGTTACATGCCATATAGGACAAATAACAATGGGTAAATGGTTATTCGCATACAGATATTTTTTTAGCTTTATATATATATATATATATATAAAAACACCCACACACCCCTTATACACTACATTTGGTGTGTCGCTGTGTAGAGTGTGGAAGCACACACTTTAGTTCTTCAGCTGAGGTTCGGGAAGACAACACTCTACCGAATGCACTGAATGAACCCCTTATAACAGTAAGGACAGACACTTGAGCCATAAACTTTTGTCACTTTTTTATTGTTCCTTCATTGCTACTGTATAAATGCTAGCAGACATGCAACACAAATATATCTAAATGTAAAGTTATAGACAGTCATGTTTCTGTAGGAGAGGGAATGGTAGCAGTGTTGACTCCAGAGGTAGGTATTCAAAACTCTATATATGTACATCACACCCCTTTTCTTAAAAATGGTACAGTCCCATTTCCTCTGAATTAATCACATTAAGAAATTGGACATTTTTAAATTACCCGAATGTTATGATTTTTGGTGCAGTGACATGGCAACTGGATTTTTGTGAATTGATTTGTCGTTATATCATATACTGCCCTGAAATAACATGGAGTGTAAATTCTGTAGTCTGGGGCAGATTTCGTCTCTGGTGGACATGAGTTTGAAGAAAATGGATGTGATGAAAGACCTTCTCAGGGAACAAAAAACTTACTTTTGCAATAAAAATTTGCAATGCATGTCATTCGCAATATTATTTTCAAAGAAAAACAATTTTCTATGAAGAGATGGCATCAAAAACAATAAAGATCCATTTTCATGTGGAATTTCTACATTCATATAAAACCTGAACAAAAAATCACATGCACCACCACATCTATAAAGCATGCTGAGTATTTGGTTTCTATAGAAGCAACGATAACACATCTGTGTTCAGTGTAAAAGATAGCCCATAACCATATTGTATTTTTCCAGACATTCTTTTCTGTGAAAAAATTATATTGAGTTATGAAAAATGAAATATTAAATGTATATATAAATTATGGAAGACAAATAAAACATGAAATGTCTAGCAAAATATGTCAGTCAAACCCATCCTTGTGTAATAAGACCACTCTTGTGTAATAAGCCCAGCCTTGTGTAATAAGCCCCAGCCTTGTGTGATAAGCCCAGCCTTGTGTAATAAGCCCAGCCTTGTGTGATAAGCCCAGCCTTGTGTGATAAGACCACTCTTGTGTAATAAGCCCAGCCTTGTGTAATAAGCCCAATCTTGTGTAATAAGCCCAATCTTGTGTAATAAGCCCAATCTTGTGTAATAAGCCCACTCTTGTGTAATAAGCCCAATCTTGTGTAATAAGCCCAACCTTGTGTGATAAGCCCAGCCTTGTGTAATAAGCCCAATCTTGTGTAATAAGCCCAGCCTTGTGTAATAAGCCCCAGCCCTGTGTAATAAGCCCAATCTTGTGTAATAAGCCCAATCTTGTGTAATAAGCCCAATATTGTGTAATAAGCCCAGCCTTGTGTAATAAGCCCACTCTTTTGTAATAAGCCCAACCTTGTGTGATAAGCCCAGCCTTGTGTAATAAGCCCAATCTTGTGTAATAAGCCCAGCCTTGTGTAATAAGCCCCAGCCTTGTGTAATAAGACCACTCTTGTGTAATAAGCCCAACCTTGTGTAATAAGACCACTCTTGTGTAATAAGCCCCAGCCTTGTGTAATAAGCCCACTCTTGTGTAATAAGCCCAACCTTGTGTAATAAGCCCAACCTTGTGTGATAAGCCCAGCCTTGTGTAATAAGCCCAATATTGTGTAATAAGCCCAGCCTTGTGTAATAAGCCCAGCCTTGTGTAATAAGCCCAATCTTGTGTAATAAGCCCAGCCTTGTGTGATAAGCCCCAGCCTTGTGTGATAAGCCCAGCCTTGTGTAATAAGACCACTCTTGTGTAATAAGACCACTCTTGGATAATAAGCCCACCATTGGATAATAAGCCCATCCTTGGGTAATAAGTCCACCCTTGGGTAATAAGCTCACCCATGGGTAATAAGCCCATCCTTGGGTTATAAGCTCACCCATGCATCTTTGCTGTTAGAAAAATAGTACAATACCTAATCAATTCGCTACCTCTGATGTACAACCAGTGTGGTCCTGTAAGAAGCCTATCCCCTGGCTTGGAATAAGAAGTGGATTTTTGCCCCTGGGGTCCTGCAATAACCCTAAATCCTTATTTTGAATAAGAAGGTTTGTGTTTGCGTACAGAGGTCCTGTAATAAGCCCATCTCCTTACTGTGACAGAGAAAATGAGTTTTCCCCCGGGGTCCTGTATTTAGCCTGTCCTCTGAATCATACTGGTACTAATACAAGTGATTTGTAATATAACAGTTTGTCTATGAGAACAATGGTACCTGTTCCTTCATAAAAAACAGCTTGTTGTCAGTGTTTGAAACGTTATAATCATTTTCAAATATATACAGCTATAACATACTACCTGGTCCTTACTAACAGTTCTAACCGTGGGACTTATTAAAGTTATAAGCAAAATGTCACCTGAAGATAAATACATTATCAGTATAAGCACAAAAAATTTCCAAAACATAAATACAGATGTGGGAACGCACAGCGTTATACAATGTGCGAGATGTCTACGATACACAAAACTGTTATTGTACACTTGTGCAGTTCTATCGCACAGTTGAAGGATTAAAAGCATGGTTAATATAGATATAGAAATGATTTCTGAAAAAAAAAGTATCGGATATCTTTTATCTATTTTCTAGATATATTGTATAGCTACAAGATGGAAATATAAAAGTTTATGGGTCAGATACATGCAGACCTATCTGTCACAGTACAGATGTTATCTAAAGTGGGTTTTTTTTACCAAGTCCAACTTGTGACCTGTCTATTTTCATTGTGTGTGTGTGTGTGTGTGTGTGTGTGTGTGTGTGTGTGTGTGTGTGTGTGTGTGTGTGTGTGTGTGTGTGAGAGAGGGTGTGTGTGTCTGAGGGTGTGCGTGCATGTGTGCGTGCGTGCGTGCGTGTGAGTGGTGGTGGTGGTGGTGTGTGAGTGGCGGTGGTGTGTGTGAGTGGTGGTGTGAGGGTGTGCGTGCATGTGTGCGTGCGTGCGTGCGTGCGTGTGAGTGGTGGTGGTGGTGGTGGTGTGTGTGTGTGTGTGTGAGGTGTGTGTGTGTGTGTGTGTGTGTGTTTGTGTGTGTGTGTGTGTGTGTGTCTGTGTGTATGTGTGTGGTGGTGGTGGTGGTGGTGGTGGTGTGTGTGTATCTGTGTGTGTGTGTGTGTGTGTGGTGGTGGTGTGTGTGCCTCTATTTTGGTCTCAGAAATGAATCATTTGAAATCTTAAACTATGAAAACTATGAAAAAGGAAAGAAGAAGTTTCATCCAATGTGTTTCTATATTACTCCAATTTTACAAATGTTTTGAAAAAAAAAGAAATATTGTGGTAAGTTTTCAGTGTTGTGTTAGCTACAACAGATATCAGATTGTAGAGACCTACCAAGGATTATGTATATACCTGTAAACAGCTAATGTACCTGACTAGACACTCGCTGAAGTGTAAAACTTTACATTAAAGAGATTTAATTAACAAAAACTGTTACTTTTATTTTGAAAACCATGAACTTTAAACAGTGTCTTGTATGCAAAATTCGGTTTGACATCATTATGTTTATTGTAAACTATGATATGTGACATTATAATAAGATATCATTGTTTTGTATCACAATGTCGATACCTGCTAAATCTAAATGGTTTAATCCTGTTTGTCCCAAAACTGAAAAAAATCTATGTCCTGTTTGTCCCAAAAACATTATGTACACAAATAGGGCAGTGTGTTGTTATAACATTTACGGTACCAGTGTGTGTTGTTTTAACAGGTAAAAAATTTGTCCAAAGTTTTTTACACATGTAAACCATAAAGCTATTTGAAACATTTTGAAAAAATCAAATACAAATATTATTACAACGTTAACTAATATATATGCATGTATGAATAATTAATATGAATTAAATAAAATAATTTAAATAGGATATTAGAAAGAAATGATTTTGCTAAAATATTCGCTGAGTCGCTGTTCTTCCACTACCACCACATCACATCGAGGACTGCTGGTTCAACGCCTTGGAGGACCTTGAAGACGTCGACCTACCCGTAGATACAATCACTGACTACGTCACCACCCAATGGATAGAAGGAGGCCGACAAGTTTGGAACCACTTTAATAACGATGGACACAGGACCACAAACAACTTGGAAGGATGGCATAGCAAACTCAAGAAAAATATCCCACATGCACATCCAAGCATTTTCATATTCCTCAGAGAATTGAAAGACATTCAAGCTACCAATTACATTAACCGCCTACAACATGCTGCTGGAGGACTGCCTGTGCCAAAGTGACGTCGCTACAGAATGCTAAATGACCGTCTTATCCAACTGAAAACTCTCCTACGAAACAACAACATCAACTACATCAATTACAGAGACAGATCCACATACCTGTTGCACATGGACTGATTTCGTTTTATTTTGAATTGTGTTAATTTATCGGTTTCATTTATTTCTATAGTTATGTCCTGAACTGTATAGTTGAACATAAAATGTACACTATATCACATCCTTCCAAGTTAAATTTTGTTGTAAGTATAATTGTATAATTATATAAAATGTACATTATATTATAGTGGTATGTAGTGCTAAATTTACCTGTATTTTAAATAAAACTAAGATTAATTGCTGGTTTGTTTTCTTAGCCATTACAGACTTATACATACAAAATCCTGTTTGTCCAAAAAAATATTTTTACCTGATTTTTCAGTTTTGGGACTAACAGGATGACACCATATGACTATGGTCACCATTCTGTCATAGCTTCACAAGTTTCCGATTAATTTTCAATCCGTAATATGAATCAACCATTTTTTTATCAATTTTTTTTTGTACACATATTGTGCGGTTCTATCGATTCTGTATCATGTGTGGACAATGTGTGCACAAAGTTTTGTTGCATTGTGTAATCCAACAAGTATACGGAAATAATCTATGGTCTGAAACAGGTGGAGGCCGTGGGCTCTGCTCATTATATGTCAGTATTTTTTTTCACATTACCTGTGTGGACTCTTCTAGTTTACCTGTAGTCTGTTTCTTGTGAACTAAAAGTTTTTCCACGTGCACTACAAGTGAACTAGAGTATAAATGTGTATATGTCATACCTAGCTAAAGCAATACTTTAACAAAACCACATTGTCAGATTTTTGTCCTGACAACCATCAATATTCCTTCAATACATCATCTTAAATTATAAGTTAAAGCATTTGTACAACATGGCTTGATAATATTACAAATATGTATATATCAAATGTCAGTATGTCTATATTATATATGAAGTCAAAATTGAAACATACAATTTTCACAGGGAATTGTGATATAGTCAGTAACTTAAAAAAAAAACATTGTGACACGGGGCCTGGTAAACTGGTCAGTAGGTTATATACATATTGTGACACAGGACCTGGTTAACTTTTCAGTAGCCTATAAAACACTGTGACACAGGGCCTGGTGAACTGGTCAGTAGGTTATATAACACGGTGACACAGGGCCTGGTGAACTGGTCAGTAGGTTATATAACACTGTGATACAGGGCCTTAGTGAACTGGTCAGTAGGTTATATAACACGGTGACACAGGGCCTGGTGAACTGGTCAGTAGGTTATATAACACGGTGACACAGAGCCTGGTGAACTGGTCAGTAGCCTATAAAACACTGTGACACAGGGCCTGGTGAACTGGTCAGTAGGTTATATAACACTGTGACACAGGGCCTGGTGAACTGGTCAGTAGGTTATATAACACTGTGACACAGGGCCTGGTGAACTGGTCAGTAGGTTGTATAACACGGTGACACAGGGCCTGGTGAACTGGTCAGTAGGTTGTATAACACGGTGACACAGGGCCTGGTGAACTGGTCAGTAGGTTATATAACACGGTGACACAGGGCCTGGTGAACTGGTCAGTAGGTTATATAACACGGTGACACAGGGCCTGGTGAACTGGTCAGTAGGTTATATAACACTGTGACACAGGGCCTGGTGAACTGGTCAGTAGGTTATATAACACGGTGACACAGGGCCTGGTGAACTGGTCAGTAGGTTATATAACACGGTGACACAGAGCCTGGTGAACTGGTCAGTAGGTTATATAACACTGTGATACAGGGCCTGGTGAACTGGTCAGTAGGTTATATAACACGGTGACACAGGGCCTGGTGAACTGGTCAGTAGGTTATATAACACGGTGAACTGGTCAGTAGGTTATATAACACGGTGACACAGGGCCTGGTGAACTGGTCAGTAGGTTGTATAACACGGTGACACAGGGCCTGGTGAACTGGTCAGTAGGTTGTATAACACGGTGACACAGGGCCTGGTGAACTGGTCAGTAGGTTGTATAACACGGTGACACAGGGCCTGGTGAACTGGTCAGTAGGTTGTATAAAACGGTGACACAGGGCCTGGTGAACTGGTCAGTAGGTTATATAACACGGTGACACAGGGCCTGGTGAACTGGTCAGTAGGTTGTATAACACGGTGACACAGGGCCTGGTGAACTGGTCAGTAGGTTATATAACACGGTGACACAGGGCCTGGTGAACTGGTCAGTAGGTTATATAACACGGTGACACAGGGCCTGGTGAACTGGTCAGTAAGTTATATAACACGGTGACACAGGGCCTGGTGAACACAGTAGGTTGTATAACACGGTGACACAGGGCCTGGTGAACTGGTCAGTAGGTTCTATAACACGGTGACACAGGGCCTGGTGAACTGGTCAGTAGGTTATATAACACGGTGACACAGGGCCAGTAGGTTATATGGTGAACTGGTCAGTAGGTTATATAACACGGTGACACAGGGCCTGGTGAACTGGTCAGTAGGTTATATAACACGGTGACACAGGGCCTGGTGAACTGGTCAGTAGGTTATATAACACGGTGACACAGGGCCTGGTGAACTGGACAGTTATATAACACGGTGACACAGGGCCTGGTGAACTGGTCAGTAGGTTATATAACACTGACACAGGGCCTGGTGAACTTATTCCATTATTCATGCTGCTCTATTGAATAAAGAGATCAATGTCAATGTCAAATTTCTGTTCAGGATGTTCTATGTTTCTACAAAGTCATAGCAACTTTAAAACATTGCAGATTTTTTGTCTAAGGTCTTTAGAAATCAGAATACTGTATTTATCTGCCATTAAGCCAATGTCATGAATTAGAATTACCATGGTTTGTATAACACTTTATTTTGCCATATAAGTAAACCCCTCACAATCATGATTTTAATATTCAGACACTGGCCTCACCGACAATGTATTAGAAATGAAATGTCAGACACTGGCCTCACCGACAATGTATTAGAAATGAAATGTCAGACACTGGCCTCACCGACAATGTATTAGAAATGAAATGTCAGACACTGGCCTCACCGACAATGTATTAGAAATGAAGTGTCAGACATTGGTCTCATCGACAATGTATTAGAAATGAAATGTCAGACACTGGCCTCACCGACAATGTATTCAAAATGAAATGTCAGACACTGGGATTAATGAAAATGGTAATATACAAACTCACACATCTAGGCATAATTTCAGGATAAATACAGTACTGCTAAAGAATTCAGTCCATAACCTTTTTCAGCAAGTCAATACAAGCAAACCAGATTATGTCACATTCTGTTTAAAGAAATGAACTGCTAACATAAGGTACAATGCAACGATCATCTATCTATGGAACAAAACCCAATTTTGATGAAAATTGCATTTATCATACAGAACACAAAAGAACAGCCAAAGATATGTATAGCAGTAAAAAATATTATTTATCTATTTACTTATTTATTTATTTATTTATCATGCTGTATCTGCCCTTAGGGTCAAACTTTACCACTGAAAGTAACAGGTTGGATAAAAGCTTATTACAGAAATCAGATTTAGTTTCTTGGTGGAAAAAATTCTGTGATTTAGTTCTCAGAAACAAACCTGTATAGAATATACTTCCTGATTTCTCAAAGGCTATTTTTAGACATAACACTCTAGAGACTGACCTGACTATAGAGCCCTGAATGGATAAAGATTGATCTACGCAAGATCACCTTGATACAGAATATTTTTTTTAAACTAAGTATTCTTCATTGAGGTTTACAAATACAATATACTCACAAAGTGACAATAATTGAAGAGTTGTCTCCCTTCATCTATTAGGAGCTCGTTCATATATTTCAGAAAAGTATAAGTCTTATTGAATGCTTTTGTGGGTATGATATTTTCTCTATTTCAAAGGGTGTCAACATGATGCCATAAATATGATCTGTGAAATAAAAAGACACATGTTAATGTTGTCTGTGGCATCAAACAAAACCAGTAAATCAGTAGACTACAATAAAAAATTAGACCTATTGTAAAATTGTATAAAGTTTTGTTGGACTTAATTTTTTGTGGTTTTTCAAACGTTTTTTGTGTACACTTAATTTGGGGTAAAGCTCAATAGATCAAGTTATACTGATTTAATCATTTGTGGACTTAAACATTCATGAATTAAAAGTACCCAAAAAATCAATGAATATAAAACCCAATGTTTCACAATACCATGTACTGGTATTTTAAAGAGATTCAGCCGTGTCTAATTACCCAATGACATCATGTATTTTGACAATTACAATTAAATACACTATGATAAACACTTGAAGAAAATCATTGAAAGACTTCTTTATGCACCAGGCACCAGCTCACCAAGTTTTTTAAGGATGATGAAAATTCATGTGGTTTTTTAAAGGGGAGATAACACAAAGCATAAAAGAAATCTATAAAAGATTATGTATCATTTGTTTAATGTGTTTCGGATCAGGTAGGTTTGGGAGGGGGGAATACAAAAAAACAAACCCTAAATACCCAGATGATTTTAAAAGTTTTATGTCAACTATAATCTGTCTATCTATCCCTGTAGAGAACATTACAATCTGACACCGTTTTAGTCATAGCCATCTGTCCGCTCTGTACAGAACAATGCATTGGTCATATAAACCTATCTAATATGACCTCTTGTTGACAAAACATACAGGTCTATATATAAATACTAGTGTCAGGCCTTACAACCAAAACTAGCAATCTTCCAGGTCACATGGTACCAACCCCATGAAAGAGTTCAACTTCTGGGAGATAGGTTTTACTGATATCAGATAGGAATTGAAATGACTATCTTTTTTACCTGATCAATCTAAATTAATACGGTACAGGTTATTTATTTTGAGAAAACAATACACTTGTCTGACTGGACAAATGTAAGAGAATAAGGAAAGCTTACCTGTTTACATTGTCTGAATCATTACCAGTAAAATCATGTGAATGCTTAACTGTGTCAAGATGTTCTATAGCAATCTAAAACTGGGCTTGTTACTATTTTCTAGCAACTTTCACAGGGAAAATGTAAAAAGAAAATATTCACATCATTTACAAAGAGATTACATTCAAGTAAAAGTCTATCTGAATTATTTCCACCTGTGGCACAATGATATACTGCTCAGATTAACCTGTCTAATCTGACACCCTGTTGTACACTACATACTGGTCGGATTAACCTGCCTAATCTGACACCCTGTGATACACTTAATATTGGTTGGATTAACCTGTTTAATCTGACACCCTGTGGTACACTACATACTGGTCAGATAAACCTGTCTAATCTGACACCCTGTGGTACACTACATATTGGTCGGATTAACCTGCCTAATCTGACACCCTGTGGTACACTACATATTGGTCAGATTAACCTGTCTGATCTGACACCCTGTGGCACACAACATACTGGTCACATTAACCTGTCTCATCTGACACCCTGTGGTACACAACATATTGGTCAGATTAACCGAATGTTCAATTACATATGATGTCTTATAACACAGAATTGTTTCATAAAAATGAGAATACAAGACATATACAATGTATATACAATAGAGCATAAATGAGTATTCAAAATATTGTCAGAATTCAATAATCAAATCAGTTTCCAGTTTTTACAATAATCACTTTGTTTTGTTCATAGAAATCTATTTAAAAAGTTCACAACACCAATGCTGAAAAATATAACTTGAACACATATCTACTATCTGTATAATTGTCATCTGTGTAATGATAAATCAAAGCTGATACTAAAGGACTTCAAAACTGAGTAAAATTTGTCTTTTATAAAAAAAGATTCTTTCTTGTTCAGCTAATCATATGACACAAATAAGATTTTTGCCCTCCAGAACTTCCTCTTCAACTTTCCTGCTTGTGGTGGAATGATCAGCTTGGATAGAGAGAATGGAGCAGAGAAAAACCAGTACCGTTCCGACAACGCACAGATAGAATGACCAACCTGTGAAGGTGAAACATAATCATTGTCACAGTATTTCAGATAGAGTCAAACCTTTATATAAAGGCTGCTCTAGAGAGCAGAGAAAGGCGACATTTATAAACAGATGACCTTCTTATAAACATGGCTTTTATGATATGTGATATCTATATAAAGTTGGCATTGAAGACAGGTAATCTATATACAAAGGTGGCCTTTAAGACAGGTAATCTATATACAAAGGTAGCCTTTCAAGCAGGTAATCTATATACACGGATGGCCTTTCAAACAGGTAATCTATATACAAAGGTGGGCTTTCAAACAGGTTATCTATATACAAAGGTGGCCTTTAAGACAGATGATTTATGTATAAAGGTGGCCTTTAAGACAGGTAATCTATATACAAAAGTGGCCTTTCAAACAGGTAATCTATATAAAAAGGTGGCCTTTAAGACAGATGATTTATGTATAAAGGTGGCCTTTACGACAGGTAATCTATATACAAAAGTGGCCTTTCAAACAGGTAATCTATATACAAAGATGGCCTTTCAAACAGGTAATCTATATACAAAGATGGCCTTTCAAACAGGTAATCTATATACAAAGGTGGCCTTTAAGACAGGTAATCTATATACAAAGGTGGCCTTTAAAACAGGTAATCTATATATAAAGGTGACCTTTAAGCCTGGTAATCTATATACAAAGGTGGCCTTTAAGCCTGGGAATCTATATACAAAGGTGGCCTTTAAGCCTGGTAATCTATATACAAAGGTGGCCTTTAAAACTGGTAATCTATATACAAAGGTGGCCTTTACGACAGATGATCTATGTATAAAGGTGGCCTTTAAAACTGGTAATCTATATACAAAGGTTGCCTTTAAGCCTGGTAATCTATATACAAAGGTGGCCTTTAAGCCTGGTAATCTATATACAAAGGTGGCCTTTAAGCCTGGTAATCTATATACAAAGGTGGCCTTTAAGCCTGGTAATCTATATACAAAGGTGGCCTTTAAGCCTGGTAATCTATATACAAAGGTGGCCTTTAAGCCTGGTAATCTATATACAAAGGTGGCCTTTAAGCCTGGTAATCTATATACAAAGGTGGCCTTTAAGCCTGGGAATCTATATACAAAGGTGGCCTTTAAGCCTGGTAATCTATATACAAAGGTGGCCTTTAAAACTGGTAATCTATATACAAAGGTGGCCTTTAAGCCTGGGAATCTATATACAAAGGTGGCCTTTAAGCCTGGTAATCTATATACAAAGGTGGCCTTTAAAACTGGTAATCTATATACAAAGGTGGCCTTTACGACAGATGATCTATGTATAAAGGTGGCCTTTAAAACTGGTAATCTATATACAAAGGTTGCCTTTAAGCCTGGTAATCTATATACAAAGGTGGCCTTTAAGCCTGGTAATCTATATACAAAGGTGGCCTTTAAGCCTGGTAATCTATATACAAAGGTGGCCTTTAAGCCTGGTAATCTATATACAAAGGTGGCCTTTAAGCCTGGTAATCTATATACAAAGGTGGCCTTTAAGCCTGGTAATCTATATACAAAGGTGGCCTTTAAGCCTGGTAATCTATATACAAAGGTGGCCTTTAAGCCTGGTAATCTATATACAACGGTGGCCATTAAGCCTGGTAATCTATATACAAAGGTGGCCTTTAAGCCTGGTAATCTATATACAAAGGTGGCCTTTAAGCCTGGTAATCTATATACAAAGGTGGCCTTTAAGCCTGGTAATTTATATACAAAGGTGGCCTTTAAAACTGGTAATCTATATACAAAGGTGGCCTTTAAGCCTGGGAATCTATATACAAAGGTGGCCTTTAAGCCTGGGAATCGATATACAAAGGTGGCCTTTAAAACTGGTAATCTATATACAAAGGTGGCCTTTAAGCCTGGTAATCTATATACAAAGGTGGCCTTTACGACAGATGATCTATGTATAAAGGTGGCCTTTAAAACTGGTAATCTATATACAAAGGTGGCCTTTAAGCCTGGGAATCTAATTTATATACAAAGGTGGCCTTTAAGCCTGGTAATCTATATACAAAGGTGGCCTTTAAAACTGGTAATCTATATACAAAGGTGGCCTTTAAGCCTGGGAATCTATATACAAAGGTGGCCTTTAAGCCTGGGAATCGATATACAAAGGTGGCCTTTAAAACTGGTAATCTATATACAAAGGTGGCCTTTAAGCCTGGTAATCTATATACAAAGGTGGCCTTTACGACAGATGATCTATGTATAAAGGTGGCCTTTAAAACTGGTAATCTATATACAAAGGTGGCCTTTAAGCCTGGGAATCTATATACAAAGGTGGCCTTTAAGCCTGGTAATCTATATACAAAGGTGGCCTTTAAAACTGGTAATCTATATACAAAGGTGGCCTTTAAGCCTGGGAATCTATATACAAAGGTGGCCTTTAAAACTGGTAATCTATATACAAAGGTGGCCTTTAAGCCTGGGAATCTATATACAAAGGTGGCCTTTAAGCCTGGTAATCTATATACAAAGGTGGCCTTTAAAACTGGTAATCTATATACAAAGGTGGCCTTTAAGCCTGGGAATCTATATACAAAGGTGGCCTTTAAGCCTGGGAATCTATATACAAAGGTGGCCTTTAAAACTGGTAATCTATATACAAAGGTGGCCTTTAAGCCTGGTAATCTATATACAAAGGTGGCCTTTACGTAAAGGTGGCCTTTAATCTATATACAAAGGTGGCCTTTAAGCCTGGGAATCTATATACAAAGGTGGCCTTTACGACAGAGGTGGCCTTGTGATCTATGTATAAAGGTGGCCTTTAAAACTGGTAATCTATATACAAAGGTGGCCTTTAAGCCTGGTAATCTATATACAAAGGTGGCCTTTAAGCCTGGTAATCTATATACAAAGGTGGCCTTTAAGCCTGGTAATCTATATACAAAGGTGGCTATATACAAAGGTGGTAATCTATATACAAAGGTGGCCTTTAAGCCTAATCTATATACAAAGGTGGCCTTTAAGCCTGGGAATCTATATACAAAGGTGGCCTTTAAGCCTGGGAATCTATATACAAAGGTGGCCTTTAAAACTGGTAATCTATATACAAAGGTGGCCTTTAAGCCTGGTAATCTATATACAAAGGTGGCCTTTACGACAGATGATCTATGTATAAAGGTGGCCTTTAAAACTGGTAATCTATATACAAAGGTGGCCTTTAAGCCTGGGAATCTATATACAAAGGTGGCCTTTACGACAGATGATCTATGTATAAAGGTGGCCTTTAAAACTGGTAATCTATATACAAAGGTGGCCTTTAAGCCTGGGAATCTATATACAAAAGTGGCCTTTAAGACAGGTAATCTATATACAAAGGTGGCCTTTAAAACTGGTAATCTATATACAAAGGTGGCCTTTAAGCCTGGGAATCTATATACAAAGGTGGCCATTAAGCCTGGTAATCTATATACAAAGGTGGCCATTAATCCTGGGAATCTATATACAAAGGTTGCCATTAAGCCTGGTAATCTATATACAAAGGTGGCCTTTAAGCCTGGTAATCTATATACAAAGGTGGCCTTTAAGCCTGGTAATCTATATACAAAGGTGGCCTTTAAGCCTGGTAATCTATATACAAAGGTGGCCTTTAAGACAGGTAATCTATATACAAAGGTGGCCTTTAAAACAGGTAATCTATATACAAAGGTGGCCTTTAAGCCTGGGAATCTATATACAAAGGTGGCCTTTAAGCCTGGTAATCTATATACAAAGGTGGCCTTTAAGACAGGTAATCTATATACAAAGGTGGCATTAAAGACATTTTATCTCCCCAAAGTAGTAAAAATAAAGTCCTGGTCACGTTAATGCCTGGAATCCCTTCATCTTCTGACAGATCTTGTCCAAGTTATTTCATACTTCTCTATAGTCATATATTTCAGTGGGGCTCAGTTTTTGTGGTTTGTCAAAAATTACCTTTTTTCTCTCCTTAAATTTTATGTTATGGATAAAAATAGTTCAATGAAATTCATACCTATTTTGACAGTTCATGGATGCATGTAGGAATTAATGAACAATTTTACAGCACTAAGTGCCAAGACTGGGAGGGGGCTTACCTAGTTCACATCGATCTATGATATAAGGATTGGCATATTCCCCACAAAGACGATTTATCCTGTCAGATCCCCAACCAGCTGGATAGACCACCAGTCCTAGGACACTTAACAAACCTGTAATAAAATCAATCAATGTAAAATACAAGGTAAATGAAAGTAAGAATAATCATTGAAATCATGGCTCTATCATGACATTAATCAAACCTGAAATAAAATTAATCCATTATGTAATACATAGGGGAAATGAAAGTAAAAATCAATCAAATTTACTAGCCCAGAGGGATTTAATTAACCTAAAATTCAATAAATCCATGTAAAAATCAAAACATCTAAAACAAAACAAAAAAAAAAAAAAAAAACACAGAAAAACAAAAACACAAAAAAAACAGTCTTTCATGATCATAATTTTTCAGTTGAAAAAAAATATAGTAAACAAAGTCATCAACATACTGTCACAAAGCTTGTTTACAATTGTTATGTGGATATTTAAAGTGGATTTGGGTGAAAATGGGACACAAATTTGATTTACTCTAATTTATGTTTACAGGTCAGGAACTACACTGTAAAATTATCAATAAAATTAATGATTATTAACGATAAAAATGATAATTCATAACTCCCTATTATCACTGGTACTATAAATCTATTCAATTAATACTGTACCACTTCTTGCCTAAGCACTCGTGACATTTGACCTCATAAATTACTGAATCAGTAAAACCGCTACATACTGCCAGCTGTGATTACTTATAATAGATTTGTTAGCTTTACATCACACCACTGAAACACTTTTTCAATCATTAAAAAATGTATCTGATAATTTGAACTAAAAATAAAAATTGATATGGCCTGCATTGAGAATTAATCCCTCTTAGAAGTTATTATGCATTACACTACTGATTTTCCCCCTAATGTCATAAAACATTGTCTGATTGAAGAACTTATTTTACACTTACAAAATCATACCTTTATCTGACCTCAAGCTAACCTTTGACCTTTGAGTTTGTAGAAAGATGTGACCTAATTTGACCTCTACTCCGATTTTGACCTTCACATTTGCTCCACTCTCTCTCCCATCCACATGACAACATTTTCAAATCAAGTATGCAGATAGTCAATCAGACCTTTGACCTTTTCTGGGACCATCACACCTTTGACCTTTTCTGGGACCATGATTTATTTAGAGAAGAGAAATATGATAAGATTTCCGACAAAATAGCATGAATGTGTAACTGTAGTATGTGTACTTTATTTAAAACTCAGGAAGTTCTTCTTAAAAAAAAAAGCTTCACTACATGCACTTATCAATCTATCAGTCTTGATTCAAATGTAACCTTAAGTTTTTACTTGATTTTTTTTTTTTTTTTCAAATAATTTTTCCAAAAAATAATTCAAACATTTTATAAATCCAAAACTACTTTATAACCGGAATTTTTTGCACTTTGAGGCCATTTAACCCCTGCCCTTCTCATCCATGAACAGGGAGGACGAATATAAGATAGCAGAGAGTATTTGTTATATTTAGGTACAACTTTTTTTTGTCAGAGGACAAAATGAACCACTAAACCAAATTTGTGTATTATGGTCCAATGACGAACTAACCTGGGGTTGAAAATATAATATGTTATACATTAAGCTAGATACACTCATTCTACTGGTGAAAAAATCATCAGTTTAAATTTTAGAAATATCACAGTAGCATTAAACAAGTGAAATAGCTTTCTTTTATTTGGTCATTTTGAGGAGGTCAGCCTCCTTGTAGCAGCTGGTCAGTGTACATGTATTGTAAGACTCCATTCTGAATAAACACATTACTAAACATTAGGCAGATAATTGTAAAACTTTTTATATGTAGAGCTATGGTATCACACAGCACACTAAAAACTGTTTGTGCATACATTATTAGCACATTGTACACACATCTACATACAATATAGTGTCTAGTATACAGATATGACATAGCCTAACATCACACATTTTGTGCAGTTTGGCAAAAAATGTTCATCAATATTACAGACTGAAAATCAAATTTTAAAACTCTTGTAGTTATGACTAAATAGTGACCAACTATGTGTGGTATATTAAATGTAGATCGGTGATTAGAAGTCATTTACAATTGGACAGTTATCGAAACACAACTCGACCCTTCATTAATCGATCTATTTATGGTATGGTACTTCTGAAAGCGGTAACAGGTCTGTATTAGTCAAGGTCAAAGGTGTAACAAACACAATATTTAAAATATTTCTGCATTACAAAATGATAGAAAAATGTGAGTAATACAGTGACAATGTAAATGAAATGTCCATTCTCATGGTTTAAGATTTTAGATAATTCATTGCCAAGGTAAAAAGAGATGGTCATTTATTTGTATTACATACATAATATATATGGGAGTGTCTGACTTGCCATGTGTGGTACATCCTAAACAAAAGGCTATCGGTCACGAGAGTATAGATCTAATCACTTTGTACCTAATAGATGTACATGTGTCTGACCTATAAAGATATGGCTTAAATACAGGAAACTATAATATCATTTATTTAGAAAAGAAATGAATATCATTCCACACATATTTACTATCATTTATTTCTAAAGTCATATGAACCAGGATTAAGTAAAGAGTCGGACATCTGTGCCATAGAACTATACTCTGTGTGCACAGATGTGTGAATGCAAATTTCATCTAGATTTCCTGTTTTGCTCATGATTCATGCACATGTTGTGCAGATATACACACACACTGTGCTGACATTGTGCACACATCATGCAGACATCATGCACACACACTGTGCTGACATTGTGCACACATCATGCAGACATCATGCACACACACTGTGCTGACATTGTGCACACATCATGCAGACATCATGCACACACACTGTGCGGACATTGTGCACACATCATGCAGACATCATGCACACACACTGTGCTGACATTGGCACACATCATGCAGACATCATGCACACACACTGTGCTGACATTGGCACACATCATGCAGACATCATGCACACACACTGTGCTGACATATGCACACATCACGTGCACAACATGTTATGCGATCCCACAACTGATATATATATATATATATATATACAGGGATTCTTTTGGCTTGTATATCAGACTTTAATATTTTCTCTGTTCAACGTGGGTGGTGTATTGAGAGCCAAATGAAACTTAGACTGTTTGGGATAATTCATAACAATTTTTTTCAAGTCATTCATACATCTGTATACACGTACATGGACTCTATATCAAAGCTGCTTATATGTTTAAACATTAACGTTTGTGTTTTAGGAAATATTTACTACATGTATAATATGAATATGCTTTTTAAGTACTTTACACATAGATTCAGTCAAAACTAAAAAAAATGCTTTTGAGCTACATATGAACAAATTATTATGAAAAATGAAGTCAGAACATGAAATTTGATTGTATAATCTGATGACCACACCCTTCAAAATATGACCACACCCTTCAAAATAAAAAAAAATTCAGAGAATCAAGACTCATGATGATATTTAAGTAAATACGTTAAATGAGTCAGTCAGAGACAAGAGTTCTATTGTAATAAGTCTTTACACTTGGAGATGACAGCTAATAGCATAAGATCAATGATACAGTCTTGTCTGAACCACAAAGAAAATAGGAAACCCCACTAGTCATTATTACCCAACACACTGTACTTCACTGTAGTACAGATAATATCTACCTCCCTTTATGGATCTATACAGTATATCATGAAAGATTTCTGAAGACTACAATATGCCTAATATAGACATTATTTTTTACCGAAAGTAATCCTTCATATCACGTCAGAATTTCACATCTAATACAAAAGTTGTTAAGTTGCCGTTTATAGTCACCATTGATTTGGAAATTAGAATAAAAAAAGTCTGCTTTAAGTTTATTCCACTCAATACCCATGCATGGTCATCTTGAGATGAAGATGGGGCCTCATAACTGTACCTGGTGGAAACCTCACTGAACAACATACAGGAAGCCCATCACATATCATAAGAAGGAACTGATGGGAAGAACATTGATGAAATATAATCACGACATCACCAAACAATAACAAAAACAGATCTGTCAAAAGGACCAAACAGCACACATCAGATCTTCAAAAGATAATGAAATGCTCTACTGACTGAGCTATCAAGGCTGAGTTTCCTCATTGGACAAGTTAAAAGAGTCAATATTAAGGTTGAAATTCAGATTTCCTTAGAGGTTGAAATGTCCCATGCTCTGTTGATTAAGCTATCATGGCTGAGTTTCCTCATTGGACAAGTTAAAAGAGTCAATATTAAGGTTGAAATTCAGATTTCCTTAGAGGTTGAAATGTCCCATGCTCTGTTGATTAAGCTATCATGGCTGAGTTTCCTCATTGGACAAGTTAAAAGAGTCAATATTAAGGTTGAAATTCAGATTTCCTTAGAGGTTGAAATATCCCATGCTCTAATGATTGAGCTATCAAGGCTGAGTTCCCTTATTGGACAAGTTAAAAGAGTCAATATTAAGGTTGAAATTCAGATTTCCTTAGAGGTTGAAATATCCCATGCTCTAATGATTGAGCTATCAAGGCTGAGTTCCCTTATTGGACAAGTTAAAATAGTCAATATTAAGGTTGAAATTCAGATTTCCTTAGAGGTTGAAATGTCCCATGCTCCCACTGATTTCGGAATGAGATTTTATAGCCACATTCCGACATTTGCAACATCAATTTTTCAATATTGAATAGTAATTGAGACTAGTAAGTGATTGTTATCACAATTGCTACTTATATTGTAATTCATTTGTAAATGGTAATTACCATCCAAGGAATATGCTGTATATTATGCTAATTATATCATGAATATTAATAAGATTATGATAACTAGTGAACAAGATTTCTGTATATTTACATATAATGATGCATAAAGGATAATTGTTTTTGACAGGAATACAAGTATTGGTATGGAATTGAAGAAATTCCCATTCAAAGTTTTACTGATTCTTTAAAAGAATAAGAAGAGGCAGATGGCCCTAAACAGTCACTTGGCTGTGACCTCAACTGATCTTAAACTGCAAAGAACCTCTACTCTGTAAGTTACATTAAATAAGTCAAATTGTTAAACATATTCAAAGCAGTTCATATTTACTTATGCTAATGTGTACACAAGCGAACGTTTAAAAAATATAAAAACATGGATTTTATCTCACGACCCAAGACGACAGACAAAAGATAATCTCTACAGATTGATTACCATGACAAATAGTCAGGTGACCTAAACAGTTCATGGTAAATTTCTTAGAACTCATATCAAATGGAAACTAATTATATATTCTGTTTATCACATAGGTTAAGTACAATTTGCAAACATTTGTCATACCAAGTAATAACATCTACAAAATGTAATTAGGATAATATAAAGTCTAATGTGACAATATTTTAATTATATTAGATCTCTCCCTTTAGTGGCGTCACAATCCATAAAGGATATACCCAGACTTATGAATGATTGTAGCATCCAATCAAACACAGATCTACCTTATTATACACACATCACAAATAAAAATGAAATCCCTTAGGGATCTTGACACATCTTATTGTGTGACCTTTATTTGTACTTTACAAACTGGATCTTTATAACTTCTTGTTTCTTCTCTCCTCTGTTTTTGCGCTTAATGATACAAAATTTGAACATACCAAATTCAAGATGGCCACCTCTCAGTCATTTTATTTTTCTGATCATGCAGTCCCAGAATCAAATTGGCACAACTATGAACCAAGGGGAAACAAAATGTATGAGCGATCCATAAAGTACTTCTCATCAAATAGCAATAACAAACTTTCTTTGTCAAAATCCAAGATGGCTACCTGTTTGCCATATTTTTTTTTTTCTGATCAGTCCTGAAAAAATAAAATGGCATAACTAGTGACCAAGGTGAACCTACATAGGAAATTAGAGAAAGATCCTTCCAGTACTTCTCATGAAATAGTGATAACCAACATTCAAAAGCAAAATCCAAGATGGCTGCCTTTCTGCAACATTTTTTTTCCTGATCAGTACCAAAATCAAATGTGAACAACTAAGGACCTCTGAGTCTTATATATGAAATTTGAGAAAGATCCATTCAGTAATTAATAAGATATGGCAATAAAAAACCGGGAACAACACGGGACAGAGTGGAACTTCCACATGAAACTTTAGAAAGATTCAATCAGTACTTCTTAAGAAATAACAATAACATGAATTGTTTATGGAGAGACGGACTGACGGATGGATGGACGACAGACTACAATCAAAGAAGGATTTGAATAGCCTACCATCTGATGGTGGTGGGCTAAAAATGAAATATGAAATGGACGATTTTATGCTGATATTCATGGGAATGATGAGATTTCTTGTCCAAAATAATTTGATACAAGAAGTTTCATTGTAAACAGGTTTTCTAAAAAAATATCCATCGTGCATTGTAACCATACCTGCAATACTCTGTACTAGGCCAGCTATTGTGAATATACTTTTTCCAAAGAATGAACGTACAAACAGACTCAGCACTGCCAAAATCATAGCAAAACTAAGCAATAATCCTGCTATGGCAAAAAACACTAACGCTGCCTTCCAGGCATGAGGAAAATCATCATCTGGGTCAGTGTATCCTGTCACGAAAGTTGCACAATTTTCTCGCTTCATTAAACTTAATCCTCGCTGTAGTTTTCTACATCGATTAAATATTCCGACAGTTGGAATGAATTCTTCTCTGCTCTGCTTAATACTTTCATTTTGTGAATCAAGTCCATAACTTGTTGGTATTCCAATCAGCCAATATGGGGAGACAACTGAAGTAACAATTATCAAAGCGACTGCGATTGACAGTAAAGTCCAGCCGAGGGACCTACATGTGATTATCACGTAACACATTTTCACACTATCTGTTATTTCAGTAATTTTTCGATCAGAAAAAAAAAAAAAATAAAATTTTTGATTAAAAAAGAATTAACAAAGAAATGAAGAAGATTTAGATGACTCTGTGAAGAATAAATCCTGCGAAATTGTGTTTTCCTCTAACATCCTTTGTATTGTATATAAGCAAAAATGTCTTATTCTCCACCAAAGTCTTGAATTCCCAACCTCATCTGTAAACACCCTCTGAGTCAATAGCTTGTGACATTTAAACCCTTTCAACAACTACAAGATCAATGCCTTTCTTTCAATTCAGGACATGTTCCATTCTGCTCTCTTTTTTATTCAGGCGAATTTGGTACAGGAAAGTAATCAGTCTTGGTGAGTCATTTCCCTATCCCATTCTCAACCGGCTCACTGCTGAAGTCTGTAAAACATAAAACAATGGATATTTAAACAAAAGAAAGTTTAGAAAAGACATTTGGGTGCATGCAGGAGTAAGGAGATCTTGTTGCCAAGCTTACGGTAAATATGCTATAAATTTTGCTATGAGGCTTAAAATGTCCCTATACATTTATATATATGTACAACAAAATTGAATTAGCGTACAAATTGCATCGGATATTTGAATTATTAGTCCACAGAACACAATCTGATTTTCATAACTACATTGTATAAAACTTCCTGAGGATTCTATTTAAGAAATTACAGTTTCAACAAACCTGAAACATTTCACCTAATGAAATTTTCTTTCTTACAGTTAACTAAAAGACAGTGTAGATTTATAGACATATGATTTTTAAAAAGTTAATATTGTCTTATATACATATATTACAACAAATTTAAACTACAACCTTAAAAATAACTCCTTAAATTTTGCTAGTGCTGTACTTTATTAAATCTTCATAAAATGAGAACTATCGCAAAGGGAGCTAACTCCTATATAAAACCCAAGTATACATATACATATCATATAAAAAACATAAAGGTAAGCTATATAGATTTTTTTTCCTTTTTGCAATGTCTGTTGTAGAAAATGAGAACATTGTCTTTTTCTGGTATCCATTTTTACTGTATTCTACCATATCTGTACACTTGCATCACACAATACAAGGGACAATTCAGACAGCTTCTCAGAGAATTGAATCAGTCTCTATCTATTATACAGACCAGGACCCAGGTTTCACAGTAGATTGGCCCAGCAATTAGTTCTGTAATAGATAATGATGGTCCATTGATGAAGAGCTTCCACAAAAAGCATTCATGTTAATCAACCTACAACAGATGTTTATGTACATCGTACATAAACTTCCACAGCTCATTTATCATTGTTTCTTCAGTGATGTACAGTTTTGTATGTCTCAATTTTATATAGAGATGGAAGGGGACAAAACAAAACCGGAACAGCCAGCAAGACAATTATGATATCAGAAATAGAAAAAAGACCCAGTTGCAGTTATGATCTCATAATTACATATACAATGGCCTGCCAGTGAATGTTTGCAATGAACAATCAGAGAGCAATGTAAATCAATTCTTTACACCAACAGTCATAAGGAGATATAAAATTTCAACAACAAGCCCACATTCTTTCCTTCATAGGCAGTTCAACTGATTTCCTTCAACAAACTTCAAACCAGAGAGTTGTAGGGTGGAATTAATTCCCAGGATAATACAAGGACTTTTTTAAAGAGATTTCACACATGCTTGATTAGTATTACAATTGTACTTTAACCATATAACTTACTGTACAATCATAGAGATTATAAATATTTCTCATTTCATCTAAACTTTGAAAGCTGTGCAATTATAAACATTTCTCATTTCATCTAAACTTTGAAAGCTGTGCAATTATAAACATTTCTCATTTTGAAAGCTGTGCAATTATAAACATTTCTCATTTCATCTAAACTTTGAAAGCTGTGCAATTATAAACATTTCTCATTTCTCATTTCATCTAAACTTTGAAAGCTGTGCAATTATAAACATTTCTCATTTCATCTAAACTTTGAAAGCTGTGCAATTATAAACATTTCTCATTTCTCATTTCATCTAAACTTTGAAAGCTGTGCAATTATAAACATTTCTCATTTCTCATTTCATCTAAACTTTGAAAGCTGTGCAATTATAAACATTTCTCATTTCATCTAAACTTTGAAAGCTGTGCAATTATAAACATTTCTCATTTCTCATTTCATCTAAACTTTGAAAGCTGGGCAATTATAAACATTTCTCATTTCATCTAAACTTTGAAAGCTGTGCAATTATAAACATTTCTCATTTCTCATTTCATCTAAACTTTGAAAGCTGTGCAATTATAAACATTTCTCATTTCTCATTTCATCTAAACTTTGAAAGCTGTGCAATTATGAACATTTCTCATTTCATCTAAACGTTGAAAGCTGTGCAATTATAAACATTTCTCATTTCTCATTTCATCTAAACTTTGAAAGCTGTGCAATTATGAACATTTCTCATTTCATCTAAACGTTGAAAGCTGTGCAATTATAAACATTTCTCATTTCTCATTTCATCTAAACTTTGAAAGCTGTGCAATTATGAACATTTCTCATTTCATCTAAACGTTGAAAGCTGTGCAATTATAAACATTTCTCATTTCTCATTTCATCTAAACTTTGAAAGCTGTGCAATTATAAACATTTCTCATTTCATCTAAACTTTGAAAGCTGTGCAATTATAAACATTTCTCATTTCATCTAAACTTTGAAAGCTGTGCAATTATGAACATTTCTCATTTCATCTAAACTTTGAAAGCTGTGCAATTATGAACATTTCTCATTTCATCTAAACTTTGAAAGCTGTGCAATTATAAACATTTCTCATTTCATCTAAACTTTGAAAGCTGTGCAATTATAAACATTTCTCATTTCATCTAAACTTTGAAAGCTGTGCAATTATAATCATTTCTCATTTCTCATTTCGTCTAAACTTTGAAAGCTGTGCAATTATGAACATTTCTCATTTCATCTAAACTTTGAAAGCTGTGCAATTATAAACATTTCTCATTTCTCATTTCATCTAAACTTTGAAAGCTGTGCAATTATTAACATTTCTCATTTCATCTAAACTTTGAAAGCTGTTCCAATGTGACCATGTAGATTATTGTTTTTTGTACAGAAATCAATATATATCAAATATTCAGTTAATCCTTGAACATCCGATTATTTGGTATATAACATATACCTGGGATATATTGTTTGAAGTAATACTATATTGACCAGTCATTACTGTGGTCACATATTTGTTTTACCTTTGATATATCTATAAATTTTCCTACAACTATGACTTTCATATGTTTATAAATGATGTTCTACTGTTGTGAAGATCATACTCAAGTTGGCTGACAATGTATTCCTGATTTCACTTGTTTGGATCAAATTACATCATTTACATTAAGTAATCATACAAATTTATTTACATGCAGTGTAACCCCATATATACCCTACAAATGACTTCTAAATTCGTTGTGTACACATTTTGTTTATCGTAAAACTGCAGTTAACTACCCTGTGTGCTGTAATTCTTTGGAAATCCAGAAACAAAAAACTTCCCAGAGGGCTTTAGTGCTCAACATTGTGTGAAATTTATTTGGTATTTAAAAGTAGTATCTTTTCTCCATTTATTTCATGTGAAACTGATATCAGACATAGGATGAAAATGATCAGATGTCACAAATAACCTAAAATCACCACATATTTCTCGACTTTTTTCAGTATTTCAAAATTTTAAAATGAAGTTTTGGGTCTAATTTGGTCAAAATATTATGTCCAAAACAACAAAAAAACGTTATTTAAATACATACAAATTTAAAAATGAAGTTTTGGGTCTAATTTGGTCAAAATATTATGTCCAAAACAACAAAAAAACGTTATTTAAATACATACAAATTTGGTAACCTACAGCATTATAATTAATTACAAGGTAATTTCCTTGAGGATCATTTAAAACACACTGCCACCTTTGACTAAGTTAGACTAAATGTATATAATAACCAGACAATAAACAAAGGTACATGTACCTGTGCTATAAATAATGTGTTGTACACAGTACACTGTGCACTGTCGTTGGTATTTAGCTAAAATATGACATCAACCACATGTAATTTTTGTAGTGTATTTTCAGGTGTATCCAGAACACTTGTTCCCTAAATTCTGATGTGAGATAAAATGACCTCAGAATTTGAGCGAGTCCTACAGGAAACCATCGGTCCGGCACACAAACATCTGAGTACCAAGTATCATTGTAGGGGCATGAATTTGTTATTACATATATATATGTACCTGCAAATACAATATTTATATCCAAAATAATGAGAACATTTTTAGCAATTACACATATGTTCAAATCTTATGTTTTGAAGGAATCTGTTGTACTGTACAATAATAAATGTACCTTAATGTACCTGTAAAATTCTCACCTGAAAACCTCAGTGGCTGTATAAAGTTATAATACCTCGGCTCTGTCACCTTGCCCTATTGTCACTGTGGAAAACTATCAGTGTGTGCTGAAGCATGATGCTATACAAATAACTCACAAACTCTGTGTAATAGCTTGTAGGCAGAATACTTAATCTTGATCATTTGAGAGCTTTGCATGGATAGAGGAACACTGAGATGTAATTAGCATGTCCATCACCTTGTATTTCTGTTTATTTATGTTGAGGCTCACTAGAGGGGAGACTTATGGATGGCCCATGTTTACCCTTCAATGGGCCAATAGACTAGATATAAGTCAACAGATGAATAATTGCAAGGCAATGAAAAAACAACTGTTTTAGAATTCTTCTAAACTACAGTATGGGTGGGCTTATTGCCAGGTATCACCCCTTTGAGAATAGTAAAGGTTTACTGTGGGAATATCCGGACTTGTCCTTCCCAAATATGGTATGACTTTTTGTAGTCTGGATAAGTCAAGATATTAATTAAAATTAAGACAGTTTAATAATTAGAAAAGAAAATGGACAAGGAAATAAAAGAAAATAACATATCTATGATGTGCAACAGGAGTGGAAAATTGTGTGGCCAGACCAGGGTTCAAATGCGGGACCTTCCAAACTCTAGAGAGATGCTCTACCTACTGATCTAACTGTTCGCGGATGATCGAACCCGACCAGTTGCATTACACACCTCCCTCCTTAGTTTTAGCTTTCACCTCCGCTGATGATCGACTCTGTTGCGCTACATAAGAAATGTTTATATCAATAAAACTTCGCAGTCTATAAATGTTAAACTGATATCACCCCTCAGGAAACTCTTATAACTGCTTAATATATTATTGAGTCAGTCAAGATCTGTTAGATTTTTTAAAAAATCACTAATAAAGAATTAACACTTCAGTTACATCAATTTACCTGTAGACCAGAAATACATCATTTTGATGCTCCTTTTCTAGACAGGTAAAGCTATCTAACACATGACAGCTCTGACTTCCATCTAAAGCCTCCATTTGTAAATTAATGTAGCACACCTTTGTGCAACAGAACACCACCTGTGGGTAATTCAGAAAACACACCTGAACAATGTTAACACATCTGTCGTATAAACAGCAGTGTTTAGGATGGTGATGTCTTCATCAGTGGTCAATGAGCAAGACGGTTAGGAACCACAAAAATAGAATCATAAAAATCTTACTGACATGGAGAGCAGCCAGCTTTTTTATTTTGATACTGAATATAAACAAATACAATGTTTCTCCATTTTTCAAAATATTTGTAACTATTAATAATTCTAATATATTAATTGAACATTTTAATCTAAATTGCTGCAACCTTAACACATTTAAACTTAAACCATTTGTTGAGTTCCTAAAAATACTGGTATAAACCTGTTGATGTATTTTTGTTCGTCAATCCTCTACCAATTTATCAATCTGTTCTGCCCTGATATTTAACGATCAGCATCTGTTCAAATCTTTAACATCTGGATAAATTATTCCTAACTGTATAAATCCATTTATCTATCCATCACTTCAACATAGAGGTTATCCTTTCGATCCCAGAATTAAGTAACCATATAACAATTTAACTAATTGATCCAAGATCTTTGCTCTGTTTAAAAGTATTCTTATACTCTATCACCGTTTTCTTTTCATCAGACTGAAGTTAGCGGACATTTGATTTTATTCTTGTCATGTAAATCAAGTGGCCCATAGAAGTGTATAATGGTCATTTTCTCATGTGCTACTCTCTTTATGTGGCTATGGTATGAAATATAGTTATTTCCCATTGTATCCAGCCCCTACAAGTAATTGTCTCCCTTTGTATGTGGCCACTGTAAAATATGATTATCTCCCCTTGATGTCAAGCTATTGCATACATATGACCATCTCCTCTTGTAACATACCACTACATATTTATATAATGTTATCAGCCTTCTTTGTTTCTGACCGCTGTATAAAGAAGTTAAATCCCTGTGTATGTGGCCACTGTAAAATGTAATCATCTCCCCCTGATGTCCAGCCTTTGTAAATATTTATCTTTCCTTGTAACTTGGCACTACATAATGTTATCATTATTTATGGTATCTGGCCACTGTATGGGATTCTCCATCTCTGCATAAAGTACATTGTGACATAATTTTCTCCCTCTTAGAAGTCCAACCGAGGTATATAATTATTTCCCCTTGTATCTAATCTAAGCTTGTATGGCTAATCTTCCTGTATCAGATCACTATGTGTAACTCTCTCCCTTTGTAACTGGTTACTGTTTATGACTATACACCTGCTTGTCCAGCCACTGTATATAGTTATCTCCACTGGTATCTGACCACTAGGAAATATTATCATCTCCTCTTGTAAGATAATGTCTACCATATAAAGGTATCTTTGTTACTTCCTGTAACTGGCCATTGTATGAAGTTATCTCCCTTTGCGACTGGCGACTGTTTGTAATTCTATCCCTATGTGTCCAGCCACTGTTTCAGGTAATGCCACTAACATTTCTTTTTAATCAATTTTGTAATAAATTCTTATGTTGTTGTGTTTCATCATTGTTATATCTGTATTCTTGTTTACTGTTGGGGACAACAGCACATTCTAAGGAGGGAATTTTCTTGTAGTATACCACACTGAAAAGCATGCGGAAGGCATCAAACTACACATCTCAATTCTTCACATGAGGTTGAAAAACATCATTAACAATCCATTAAATCCTTAGTAAGAATATTGCAGGCCAAATTATGTAAACCCTTAACCAACATATTTATTTTCCCACAGCCTTTTAACCTTAAAAAAAATCTTTAAACTTCCAAAACCTTTAGAATGGACAATTTTACAAAACACACAATAAAAAAAATCTGATTTAAGTAAGACATTTTCATATGAACCAGAAAAACTGGAATGTGTTTTGGCAAAGTATCACACTGGTTTGGAACCTTCAAAGCATGCACACACTATCATACAGATGATACTGGGGGATTTGTTTCCTTGAAGATATGGCTCATTTATTACAAGAGTCCAAGGTACACAGATACAAATCTAGGTCTACAACATACTTTGAGGATCAGTATGTTTACCAGGAGACAGATGGTAGGCAGAAATACATTATTAATCTAAAGTTAAATCAGAGAACACAACTGAGGTGAGACAATTATCTAAATATTTTTTCTGACCTTTGACCTTGTGTGAATATATAATGTTATGAAATACAGACAAACCAAGATGCAATTTATTTAAAAACTTAAAAAAAAAAGTTTAGATAGGTAAATGTCATTGGATAAATGTATCATTGTCCATGAAAATATCATCTTTCAGAATTATTTATTTCAAAACAAATAATGACTTAATATTGAAAATCATTCTATGATCTACTGATTCTGACTTTCTGCTGCTGATATATTTGTGTATGTTTATTTGTTTTTTTTTTATATCTTGCTGTTGTTGTTTATCTTAAATCAATCACAATATTACCATCTTTTCCGAATACAGAGTTACCTGCTCTTAGCAGAAAGCATCAATTGTTAAATCATTTGTTTGCATGAGAAAATTAAGTCGCTTGCTCATGACATTACTCTCACACAGAAATAACATAACTCTATGATACAAGACAGATTGACAACACTACGATACTGATCTACAATCACCCCTTATCATATTTATCATTAATAGATGGTTCAGTCTCCTCCCCTTAAAAAGATTGAAATATTGGACAAAAATCTGTTTAAAAATTAATAATTAGCTAGCTAAAAGTTTTCGTCTCCTGTCACTTCTCTGGCAATATTAATGATCAGAAGTTTGTTGATAGCACCAGGTGTCCCTAAGAAAGAGTATTTATGGTATACCCATTAAAATAACTCCAACCCTATAACTATTAATTCTGCCATCACCTACTGGTGCATGCTGGGTAATTGGTGCTCCTCTGTAAATATTGGTGTGGAGGCATGCTGGGAAGGATAAACTTATTTCATTCTATTTAGTGAATGCTTATACCATACTATATGCAGAGTAGAGTGTACTATTACAGTAAAAAATAAAAGGAAAGGATGGGATTTTTTCCATCAACTTAGGATGCTGCCTGCTTGTCAAATTAATTCATAGATTCATAGGAAGGTTTTACAGTTGTCATAGCATCCTTGTGGGATATGAAGCTTGACATGTTTTAGATGCACATTAGTAGGGTTTGTTGTCTAAATTCTTCTCATGTTGAAAATGTGACATTACTTGATTTGGATTTATCAAAATTTACATGGCAGATGTCATTGATAAAGAAGTAGACGGCACTTACTCTTCCGAAACATCTGGTCTTAATTACCCTTGTACTTTTTCAAGAGTCTTTGTGTAAAAAGTTTTTTGATTGCATTTTAGTTACAATCTTATTTATTTGATGGAATATTAGTATTTTCTTGTAGTTTTTAAAAAAGTGGGTAACTAAAACATGTTTCTATAATAATTTGAAATCTTTACTTGAAATTATGTTAAAAGATATATCCTTTAGAAAAGGGAGCCATTTTTAACCCAAAAAGGGTGTGGGGTATTCAGATAAGGGAGGGGTAGGATTAGAAAAGAGGTTAAGATAGAAAAGGAACCTTGACAAAACAAGAGGCCCAATGGGGCCTTAACGGTCACCTGAGGAATATATGTCAATAATCTGGGGATTTTAAAATGTTGCAAAAATGTAACAACACTTGTGCAGGACCATGTGTAAAACATCTGTACCAAGTTTGAACATGATCCACCCAGTGGTTCTTGAGAGGAAGTCCAAAATGTCTTAGCCAAACAGAGGCCAGGGTGGTCATCTTGCATTTTGAAGTTAAAACACTTGCCAGAACCTTGTGTAGAACATTCGTATCAATTTAAGACATAATCAACCCAGTGGTTAATCTGACTGTTGGTTCATGCGAAGAAGATTTTTAAAGATTTACCTAATTTTACCCCTTTTTCCCCCTCCTGGGGCCCCTATTGGAGCCACACCCTTTTTCTTCGCAAACTTGAAGTGGCTTTCCATGGGAATGCTTTCTGTCAAGTTTGGTCAAAATCCATTCAGTGGTTCTTGAAAGGAAGTCGAATATGTGAAAAGTTAACGACACAC